CCCCAAAACCCCAAAACCCCAAAACCCCAAAACCCCATATTATCATGGGATTATTGAATTCAAATGTGATTTGCTATGTAGAGCCACAAGATGTATCTTCACCTGCAACCGTGTCCTAACAAAAAATTTATATAAGGATGTTGTATCACTTAGAATCTATTTCTTCAGACAATAAGTTTCTTTAATCCTATTTTTCTATCTATGGTGATATCTTTTCAAAAATGTTAGATTAATGACTCAAGACCGAAGTGAAGAACACTTCATCAATTACTTGTCAGAGCTTCCCTCTTCACTTGAATTAAAGAGTCTATAGAAGCTTGATTTCTAGGCACATGTCTAAATTTTCTCCTCTCTTGGGTTCTCAGATCTTGATCTTCAACCTTAATATGCCTTTGGTAGTTTGCAAATATCTAAAGTTGCATAAAAGGTTACCTCTTTTCCTCTTGCTAATTTTTCTTGTTGCCTATTACTTCTGATAATTATCATTCGGGCTGGTATCAGTATCACTGATGTATCCAAGCTGATGCTTTCACTATAAAAATGGTGAAATCTGTATAGAAGATGCTTACTTTTTCCAATAAATCTATCAAAAATTGGACTCTATCTTCAAGAGATTTTAGATTATACTTATTTTTCCTTTCCCTCAAGTTGTCTAAACAGTATTGCTTAGAACACGTACTCTATCTTTAGGTCTCTAATGTCGATCTCTGTTTGCAGCTCTGTAACTTTATCATCGTACTTTTCAAGAAGAGATAGGAGTTGTTCGTTATTATTTCTGAACCCCTTCATATTCCCGAAACTCTTTGTTCCGATTAGTCAGAGTCTCTTTGAGTAATTTTATCTGAAGGGATAAGTTAATGCAATTACCTTAGTTTCTAAATTTTGGGTATTCAATGATTCCCTAAAAATGTAAGCAGACCATTTACTTAATCTTGAACCTCCTGATTTCATCCTCAAGTTGTAAAGCATTATGCAGATAACTTTCTGCTATTTGGTTCCTCAGGATAGAACTTTGGGATATATCAGAAAACATTAAATGAAATTCTTCTAACTCCTTTGCCATAATTGAGTACCTCTTCTTAAAAGCCTCATATTCTTTCTTGTTTAAGACAATAAAGTCTGTATCTGTTTTACTTCTTTTTGAGTCTTTAGACAATTTCTTGTTGAGCTTGGAAAGAGAATATTTTTCTCTTTGAAGTTCAGCTAGCTTGAATTTCAAACTCTGATTGTCAATTGCTAAGTTTTCTTTTACTCTCGTAACTTCCTAAACTTTAGGCATTAGACGCACTTTGAGCTTCAGAATAAGACTATTGATTTTATCAAGTTCTTTTGTACTGCCCTTACTGATACTTCCAGAGGAAACTTTAGTCCTATTTAGTGTCTTTTTTGTCAATATTGCTCATTTTCATATACAACTTCTTGTTGTTTTTAGCTCCCATCCTTGAGTTGAAATTCAGCTTCTTCTTTTTATTTCCAAATGTAGACTTTACTCTACCCACTGGGATAAATGAGTGGGAATCTGGAGAAACACTCATGGAAGTATGTAGGTTTAGTTTCTTTCTACCATCTTCTTTCTTAAGCATCCCATTAATGGAATGTCTCACCAGAGGATTAGAATTTTCACAATCAGGAGAGATTGTCTGGAGTATCCCATGCTCATTAAAATCTGTAAGTTTCTTTAATCGAGAGAGTCTTTTCTTAGCATCTGAAATATTTTTATTTAAATTTTCTTTTGGAGATACTTCTCCTCTTGTTATCAATATCATTGGTAATATCATTTCCTCTGATGTACTCGTGGTATGTCGTCGATAATTTCTCATAATCGTTCAATACATCAAAGTTTGTAGACAGTCTTATTGACTTGTTAGGCACAACTTTTTGCTTCTCAAAATTTGACGAATCAAAATTCTCTTGCATTGAGTGGTTTTGAGATTTATTCAAATTATGTAGCATTCTTCCCTATATTCGGTAAACTTTATTAAGCCTTGCCAACAGGATAAGAAATTTAACTTACCTTTTGTCTTGCTTTCTTTATCTCCTCCATTATTTAAATTAGTTCAATATAAATATTTAAGCTGGGGTTTTGGGGTTTTGGGGTTTTGGGG